CTCACATAGAAAACCTGCAAAAGAAAAAGTTATAAATCTGCAAGCTTCCTCCTCATCTCCTGATAACCAAATCAGAAAATCTAAAAAGAAACCAGAAATTAAAAAAAAAATATGTAAACAAATTAGACAAATCAAGAGAGACAAAATCTGAAATTAGGGATACAAAGAACATACCAAAAACGCAAAGAGACTAATCCAGAATTCACTAGCAAGATATAGAAGGGTATTAAGAGATTAGGTGACTTTCAAATCAAACCTTTCAACCAGCTTCGATTCTCAAATACAGAACATCCCTCTACATCTTATGGATTTGCTAAGACCTTAATCTCTCAACTCCTTCATTGATATCGATCTTTTGATGATTTTGTAGAGAGTTTCATGAGGGTGTTTTAGAGAGTGCAGAAGGAGGGAGAGATAAGGTTTTCAGAGACGGGGGAAAATCTGAAAATTTGACAAGCGCGAATTCACTTAAGTAGACATTTTTTAGCGTGTTTTAAAAGACGATGCTTGTTAATGAGAGATAAGATTTTCAAAGACGGGTGAAAATTTGAAAATTTATCGAGCGTGAATTCACTTAAGCGGCCATTTTTTAGCGTGTTTTAAAAGACGACGCTTTTTATAAAAAAAAAATTTGTCATCTTTAGATATAATATACGGTTGTTTTATAAAAACCGTCATCTTTACATATAATAGACAACGGTTTTATAAAAAGCGTCATCTTTACATACAATAGACGACGGTTTTTATAAAAAGCGTCATCTTTACGTACAATAGACGACGGTTTTTTTATAAAAAGCGTCATCTTTACGTACAATAGACGACGGTTTTTTTATAAAAAGCGTCATCTTTACGTACAATAGACGACGGTTTTTTTATAAAAAGCGTCATCTTTACGTACAATAGACGACGGTTTTTTTATAAAAAGCGTCATCTTTACGTACAATAGACGACGGTTTTTTTATAAAAAGCGTCATCTTTACGTACAATAGACGACGGTTTTTTTATAAAAAGCGTCATCTTTACGTACAATAGACGACGGTTTTTTTATAAAAAGCGTCATCTTTACGTACAATAGACGACGGTTTTTTTATAAAAAGCGTCATCTTTACGTACAATAGACGACGGTTTTTTTATAAAAAGCGTCATCTTTACGTACAATAGACGACGGTTTTTTTATAAAAAGCGTCATCTTTACGTACAATAGACGACGGTTTTTTTATAAAAAGCGTCATCTTTACGTACAATAGACGACGGTTTTTTTATAAAAAGCGTCATCTTTACGTACAATAGACGACGGTTTTTTTATAAAAAGCGTCATCTTTACGTACAATAGACGACGGTTTTTTTATAAAAAGCGTCATCTTTACGTACAATAGACGACGGTTTTTTTATAAAAAGCGTCATCTTTACGTACAATAGACGACGGTTTTTTTATAAAAAGCGTCATCTTTACGTACAATAGACGACGGTTTTTTTATAAAAAGCGTCATCTTTACGTACAATAGACGACGGTTTTTTTATAAAAAGCGTCATCTTTACGTACAATAGACGACGGTTTTTTTATAAAAAGCGTCATCTTTACGTACAATAGACGACGGTTTTTTTATAAAAAGCGTCATCTTTACGTACAATAGACGACGGTTTTTTTATAAAAAGCGTCATCTTTACGTACAATAGACGACGGTTTTTTTATAAAAAGCGTCATCTTTACGTACAATAGACGACGGTTTTTTTATAAAAAGCGTCATCTTTACGTACAATAGACGACGGTTTTTTTATAAAAAGCGTCATCTTTACGTACAATAGACGACGGTTTTTTTATAAAAAGCGTCATCTTTACGTACAATAGACGACGGTTTTTTTATAAAAAGCGTCATCTTTACGTACAATAGACGACGGTTTTTTTATAAAAAGCGTCATCTTTACGTACAATAGACGACGGTTTTTTTATAAAAAGCGTCATCTTTACGTACAATAGACGACGGTTTTTTTATAAAAAGCGTCATCTTTACGTACAATAGACGACGGTTTTTTTATAAAAAGCGTCATCTTTACGTACAATAGACGACGGTTTTTTTATAAAAAGCGTCATCTTTACGTACAATAGACGACGGTTTTTTTATAAAAAGCGTCATCTTTACGTACAATAGACGACGGTTTTTTTATAAAAAGCGTCATCTTTACGTACAATAGACGACGGTTTTTTTATAAAAAGCGTCATCTTTACGTACAATAGACGACGGTTTTTTTATAAAAAGCGTCATCTTTACGTACAATAGACGACGGTTTTTTTATAAAAAGCGTCATCTTTACGTACAATAGACGACGGTTTTTTTATAAAAAGCGTCATCTTTACGTACAATAGACGACGGTTTTTTTATAAAAAGCGTCATCTTTACGTACAATAGACGACGGTTTTTTTATAAAAAGCGTCATCTTTACGTACAATAGACGACGGTTTTTTTATAAAAAGCGTCATCTTTACGTACAATAGACGACGGTTTTTTTATAAAAAGCGTCATCTTTACGTACAATAGACGACGGTTTTTTTATAAAAAGCGTCATCTTTACGTACAATAGACGACGGTTTTTTTTTTTTTGAAATCGTCGTCTTTACTTTCTACGTCGGTCGATTCATAACTTCTGCCGTTCTTTATTTGCTTTGATTTTACACTGCGGAAATCCTGTTTCAAATAGACGTCGGTTTTTTAATTAGGTACGTCGTTGTTTATGAACAATCATTTGAATCTCCATTTTTTAGGTGTCTAAGGTGTTATTACACGGCGGTTTTATAGAACCGTCGTCTTTTAAAAAACAACGACGGTTTTCACTTAGACCGTCGTTTTTTTCTGGTCGTCTTTGTCACTTTTTGTAGTAGTGTGGGAATTTTCTATGTATTCTTCTCCTTGTATGAAGTCATATTTATAATACAACGAAACCTGAATGGGCAAGTAAATAATAAATTCTTAAATCTATTTACAATAGGAAATCAAGAATTAAAGTAAATCAATTATAATTATAATAGGAATTCTTGGTGTGTAAGGAAAGTAAGTCAATATCCACAAGTCATACCAACATATCTGTAGTGAGATCAACTGCCAACTGGAGCAGCGTATGTGGGTCTGTGACATCGCCATGCACCTTTTCATATTCAAAAGTCCAATGCACTACGCTGCCCTCCCCTTTTGGAGTTGCTTGAATTGTGATCTTGAAGCTCTTGTAATGCTCCAGAAGATCTCCTTCTACAACTCTCAGAGTGATTGAGTTCTATTCATCGTCTATGGCTTCAAATACCACCTTAGCAACCTTACCTTTCCCATCTGCCAATAATTTCACCATGTAATTAGTAATTGAAGATTAAGCATGTTTAATTAGCGATGATTATCAGATATTATTCAACTTACGAGTCTACGACTACGTTAATTCAAACTTTAATCAAGCACTAAATCATATACATAGCCCAACATTAGGTAGATATTTGAAGCCTAATTAATTACTGTGGATATAATTCCAGTTGACGACAGAGCCGACTTTTCCCCAATCACCGTCATGTAAATCACAATCCTTAATTTTATCAAAGCTGATATTGGATAACTGGTGTGGCCTCTGCGTGAAGAAGGGGAATGCTAGCAACATTCTCTCTAACCTTCTCTTTTGACCTTCTCCTTTTACCTCATGATACATGTCCCTCTTTTTACACTTAAAACAATTTCATTAATACTTTCCAAGTTTGCCCTTATCCTAAACCCTTAAAAAATAAAAACGATGTGTTGCGCACACCCTCCTCCTCTCTTTTCACAATAAGACTCTCTCTCCTACCTTCTGTTTTCACGATGAAACTCCATGCTTGCTTTAACACTTGGATTTGAAACAAATTTGATTAAATGAAAAATTGTGAGAAAATCAGAAAAAATACAAATTAATCCAAAGAAACAGAGCCAATATTACATCAACAATTAGTTCCTCTTCGACTCATCACTTCCTCCCCAATTTTATTTCCCCAAATAGTCCAATTTCATACATTTTTAAACCCTAGATTGAGATTCCAGCCACACCCAATCACAAATTACAAACAACTAGCGACCCACCGTCATTAGGCATATCCTTGGCGACAAAATCCGACTAGTTCACTAGTCGCCGAGAACATGGTGGTGAGAGCAGCAAGCATAAATGGAGGTGAAGATAGATGTGATATATGAGGAAAATAAGGATCCAAGAGGAGGAGACAAATATGAGGGAGATGGAGCATATCTCAGATCTAGAGGAGAGAGAGAGGGGAGAGGGAGTTTGATCGTGAAAAGAGATAGAGGGAGGAGAGAGAGAGAGTCTGATCGTGAAATGAAAGAGGGAGTATGTGCAAAAAAAATAATTTTTTTATTTTTTATAATAAGGGTAAATTTGGAAAGTAAAAGCCAATTTATATGATATATTAATGACATTATTTGAAGTATAAAAAGAGTGACACATGTCATGAGGTAAATGGAGAAAGTCCAAAAGAGAAGATTAGAGAGAAAGTTGCTAGCATTCTCCTTTGAACAAAAACGTTATGCTCCAAGCCGGATTGAATGAGGAAATAAATAAATGACAATAAAATAAGAAGAAATTTCTTCGCAGTGGTGAAGAAAACACCTAGGCTTTTACTTACACTTATATAGTAGTGATGGAGCCATATCATGAATATACAAGTCACGGATCTTGAGCCTCCTGTGCATTTATCGACATTTCGTTAAATCTAAGCCACCCAAACAATCTAACCCCCTTAACACATGACACCTCATCAAACTGTAAACCAGAATTATTATTATTATTATTATTTTTTCTTTCCAGGACTTATGTTAGCGTCGTTGAGGGTTTCTTTTAAGGTGATTCCTATTCATAGCGTGCCTTTTTTTTTTCTTCAAGCGTCGTTGAGGGACCATTTAGGTCATTAACCCGGGGAAGTTATTATATAAAAAATAAAAAATGAATAAAAAAGAACGTTGGATGAAACACGCTCACGAGAGGAAGGAGAAGAAATCACGTTAAAACAAACCCTCAACAACATTAAAGTGAATTTTGAAAAGAAAAAAAAATTTACTGATTTAAAGTTTGATGAGGTGTCATGCGTTCAGGGGTTAAATTGTTTGGATGACTTAGATTTAATGACATGTGAGTTAATGCACGGGACCTAAATGTAGAGACTCATAATCCACAAGCCACATTATTTTCATTTTTCACTGTTTGTTCTCCATTTTCAAAACCACATGGATCTCTGTTCTATCTCAACAACAACAACAAACATGTGAATCTCACTTCAATTATTTATGTATTAGTTGTTGTGGGATCCATCAAACCCCACTATAATAAATAAAGACAAAATATTAGCATGTCGGTAATATGTGTGACTAATTCCAAATATGATTAGACATCTGAAATCAAAAGTTGTTTCATCCAAAAGAAGTCTATCTATAGATTTTTTATTATTGTGAATATGATTCTTATGTACATCCACAAACTACATTATTTCAAACTTCCAATTGATCTTCAGTTGATTATTATTCTAATGTTTGTCCTAAATTCTAATCATGTCTAAAGCTAAAACATTACCGTTTGTCTTTAAGTTGAAACAAAATACCAACACAGAAAAAACCACTAGAAGATCGCGATGCATGTATTAAAAAAAGAGAGCAGGTAAAACATTTATTGCATATGTTATGATTGGTGACATATCTCATATAAAATGTTTGGAAAGTGATTGTTATTTGTTAGTTCTACGAACCAAAATGCGTGGAGCTTTGGGGCTTTGTGATTAGTGATTAACTTTAATTCAAAAGGGCTTTGTGATTAGTGATTAGTGATTAACTTTAACCAACGGGCTTTGTGATTAGGGCAATTTCCCATGCATATGATCAAGTTACCATACCCTACTACTTACTGTTCATAGGAATCTGCCCTAGAAATCGGGCGTACTCAACGGGACTCATCAACAGTTGCTCATCAAGTCACACTGTCAGAACGAATTAATAAACTGCTGGCGGGTGGATAATTCTGATTTCTGATAAGTTTATTAAGAGTGGTGATTTCCCCACTCCTTTTTCTCTTATTTTATCCACTTACACTCCTTTTTTATAACTAAAAAATGAGTGTAAGTGGATAAAATAGGAGTGGGGAAATCATTGCCCTTTATTAAACATTTAAACTTTTCTTTTTCGTGCAAGTTTTAGCAATAATACTAATTTTTTTTTGCCGTGTACTTATCAAATTAATTATTATCATTAGTTGGGGTCGGTGACTGGTGGGTCACTGGCTGTCGATCAAATGTCATTTTTCATTATAATATAGTAAGGATTGACCTGCTACGCATAATGCTTTTATATATTCAATCTGGGAACCACATGTTCCACATACAACGAAAAATCTGGAAACCACATGTTCCGCATGCAATGAAAGGGTCTATGATTAGATTTCCTATTCCTCTAGTGTGCCTTTTTTCTTTCCCGTGATCAACATCTGAAGCTCATTTTGCGAGCTACTTTAATTTTATTGATTTTCTAATTTCATCTTGCAACACTTTTTAACATCGATCGATCTCATCAATATATATTGTTTTTCTTACGAAGCCAATAATTAGTATTAGCTGTGGGTAATATTGTACTAGCATCTGTTACGCATTATTGAGAAGGTAGGCATCAACATTGTTAGTGAGAATGACCACAAAGTCTAGATACTTATTAGGAGCCGGAACAGCCTCATTCTGCTTCTCGTATTCTATGTTCCATTTCACTGATGAGCTGCTGCTGCGGCTGCATCCATCACCCCTTGGTGTAACTTGAATTGTCGCCTTGAAACTCTTGTAGTATTTCGTGATCTCTCCTTCCACCGTTCGGAAAGCAATTGATTTGTTTTTCTCATCTATGGATTCAACTGTCTCTTTCGAAACCTCAAAAAAATTGCCTATCATGGTTTTAGACAACCAATTAATTAAGGTGGAGTGGAGGTTAGGTTTATGATAAATAATAGTCTAGCTATGAAATTGATAGTTATAACGATTATTTTATGGGAGTTTCACTAAAACACCCAAAATAGGGGTTGAAATTATAAAAAAATTAAACACCCAAAACACTTTATAAACACACCCAAAACTCATCATTACACACACTTAAAATCCATTTATAAACACACCCAAAAAATATACAATTGTTGATTTTGGGGTTGATTTTGGGTGTGTTTCTATGTTTAAATAATGTTTGAGTTTTTTTTATAAATACATGTCTAGGATTGGGTTTATTTATAAATTTGTATTATTTTATCTCTTCAGTATATTATGTTGAAGAATATGAGTCCTACATCGGAAACTTGACTAAATAAAATACAAAATATAATGAATGGTTCTACTACTAATAATACCGATGTCTTTTGTGATAAAACCTCACACCTACTGGGCTTTGTAGGTGGTTAAGTTGGGGACAATATTGGTGTTGTTAATAGTGGGCCGCTGGCCCGTCTCTCTGAATTTGACATGGTATCAGAGCCAGGTTGATTGACTGGGCATGAATTGGGCCTCTATTCTTACTCAATATGTGGTGTTCACATGTTGGGCCTGAATGTTTACCCATACCCTTTACCCAATACGTGGTGCTCACGTGTTGGGCTTGAATGATTGACTTCGATGTGGACTTGGCTTCACGTGTGGTCCACTATGTGGTGGTCCCACGTGAGGGGGCGTGTTAAAGAATATGAGTCCCACATCGGAAACTTGACTAAATAAAATACAAAATATAATGAATGGTTCTACTACTAATAATACCGAGGCCTTTTGTGATAAAACCTCACACCTACTGGGCTTTGTAGGTGGTTAAGTTGGGGACAATATTGATGTTGTTAATAATGGGCCGCTGGCCCGTCTCTCTGAATTTGACATATATGCATATATTAACTCATATCATAGAGTATTAATCAATATATTTATTACCTGCAGCAACGTACGTCCATTGCTTGATTGAGCCCACAGAGCTCCCGTCACCTTTAAGCACCTGTAGATCCTTTATAATATTAGGGCAGATCTTGGGCAAAAGGTACCCCTTGCTACGAAAGATTTCGTAGAACTTGTCAGCACTGGCTTTGATATCGGCTTGGACTTCTATGTTTGCTATTTAAGCCATATATTATGTATTGTTCAATCGAGAGTTGTATGATGTACCTTTGTAATTTGTATGAAATTAGCCAGAGTCTAGTGGAAAATATATAACTCTCTCTCTCTCTCTTGGTCTTTATATAGAAGAAAGAAATTATAGACATCACATGTATAATGTATCCCCTTGACTACTTTAGCCAATATTATTTACGGTATGCTTATAAATTGAAATATATTTCAAAAGTTGATGTATGATGCATGTATATATTCCAAAGGTTGGTTCTGTTAAGGACAATATTCCAGCTGATCCTGATTTGTGGTTCTGCGAAGCAATTATGCAGTTTTCTGGGCCCTCCAGCAGGGCAAGCTTGAACTACTGATGTCCTATCTCCACTATCTTCATCTTATGGTGGATCAGAAAGAGGATTCTTTTTCCAGCTTTTTTTGGGTGAAGATGTATCCTTTTTCCGATGAGATATATACCAACTTTTTGTTTTTGTTTTTGTTTTTATTTTTGCTTTCTGTTAGTGCAAGTACACGCACGTCCAGCCGCTAAAGATTGAAATTGAAATCGATGCTAACCCAGCACTTAATTATGATGCAACATCACTTCGCTCAAATCGCAAACTTTGGATAAGTTTTGATTCCAGGCAACTCGTACAGTCCATCGAAAACAAGGTGTTAGAGTGTTCCGCACGACACTTTTTGTTTTTGTTTTTATTTTATTTTAGTTGAGAGATCCCTATTGGAAATTGTAATAGAAAAAAGTCTATTTATATATTGTCAACATCACTTCACTGAAATCGCAAACTTTGGATAAGTTTTGATTCCAGGCAACTCGCACAGTCCATCGAAAACAAGGTATTAGAGTGTTCCGCACGACACTTTTTGTTTTTGTTTTTATTTTATTTTAGTTGAGAGATCCCTATTGGAAATTGCAATAGAAAAAAGTCCATTTATATATTGTCATTAAGCATGAATATGGTTATCAATGAAAACAGAAAATACGATTGACTATTATCCACAAATATTGCTAATACAAATATATCACCAATACCAAATACATATTTGCACATAGGTTTTTTTTTTCTTCTTCTTTCTTTCAATTAGTACAACTGTACAAGTACACGGACGTCCAGCCGCTTATAAGGATTGAAATGGAAATCGAGCCTAAGCCAGCACTTAATAAGATGCAAACCGAACTTATAAATTTAACAGAAGATCTTAAATAATTATTAGTACCAGTAATATATATACATATTTCTCTATGATATCATGCATTGACAAGATGACCGTCCTGATAAGATTGCGGAGCTGGGATTTCGTCCTTCACCTTCTCATAGTCCAGAATCCATTTCACCAAACTGCCCCCATTGGTCTTTTCTGTCTCTTTAAGAGCAGGTCCAGCGTAGGACCCAAACTGGGGGAAAGGGCCCCCTGGCGAGCCCGAGATGGCTCCAGTGCAAGAGAAGCAGCCCGGTTTCGTGGTGGGTCCCACCAGCCCGGGCAAGCCCAAGGGCAACTTCTGCCTGGGCTGAAGCCCGAGTTTTGTGACGTAAGCGTTGGCATCACGCTGACGTCAGCGCACAATAAATCAGATTTTTTTTACTGTTGGCGCGTGAATTACACGCGCCAAAGGTAAAAAAAATTTGATTTCCGCACGCTGACGTCAGCGCTAGCAGAATCCAACGGTAAAGTGCCACGTGTCGCGACAGGGACGCTTCGATCTTTTTTTCCAGAAATCTGACGGTCCTTGTTTTTTTGGCTAAAAAAATTGCAAAAAAATTCGAAAAATTCTGAAAAATTCTGAATTTTTTTTTTAAAATACCAAAAAATTTATGTATTTTTTCCCTATAAATACCTAACCATTTTATTCACTTTCTACACCAAATCTTCATAAAAACTCATCTCCTTCCAATATTTTTCACTTTCCACACCAAATTTCTACTACAAAATTTCATTTGTGCAAAAATACAAATGTCATCTTCCATCGAAGCTGGAGGGTCATGGACAAATGTTCGAATAGGTCAAAATCTTGGCAACGAGGTAAAAAAAAAAAAAATATTCGTGTCAGAAATAATGACACTATTACGTCCTCCTAAGGAAAATACTCCCCCACGTCGTGATCCTGTGGAACCGCCTCCACCAATGATGGAGTTGTCCTTGTATTCCATTGTGTCGGACTATGAGGACCAAGAATATTTCAATTGTATGATGAGTGAGTAGGTATTTCAATTGTATGATGAGTGGGATGTGAATTTTATAATAAATATGGACACGTGGCAACCGAAAATTTTATCCGAAAAATGTTATCTTAAATTTTAAGTGAAAATTTTATAATAAATAGTGACACATGACAACCGAAAATATAATCTAAAAAACTTATCAAAATTAATGGTTTAAAGTATAACAAAATAGGAAATAAAGTACAATGAATAGTAATTGCCTTAGACTTGCCCTAAACTTTGCCCTCATGGGTGGAACCACAAATGCAAAGGCTGACACTATTCATGTGAATAGTGGCAGCCCTTGCTTGTCCTTGCCTTAGACTTAACCATTGTGGGTGGAGGTGCTCTAAGAGTTACCTTGAAGCTCTTGTAATGCTTCGATATTTCTCCATCCAAAACATTGAAATGTCATTGTCTTGTTTTCCTCATCTATGGCTTCAACTGTCTCCTTTAAACTTAATGAGCTCCTATCTATATGCATATATAGGTAAGCTCATAATAAGTCATGATTATATAATAGGCTTAACTGTTGATTTGACCCTTGAATTTGTACATAATTTTCGTTTTACTTCTTATACTTTTTTTGTTAGAAAATTAAGGATATGAACTTCTTCTTTTTTATCCAATTCCCCCCATGTCGTCTAAATCCTCAACATTTTAGTTAAATCATTAAAAAAAATTGAAGAAAAATAGGAAAATTGACAAAAAGAAAAATAGAAAAAGAGGGGAAAAAAAAATTCTCGAGACCCATTGAACCAACCACCCCCACCGCCACCCCCCCCCCCCCCAACCCCCTCCCTCTCTCTCTCTCCCCCCCCCCCCTCCCCCTACAACCCCATCGACCACACCCCCCCCCCCCGACCCCTAAACCCTAATGGAAATACATATCAAATTATCAATTAAATAAATAAATCATAATTGATTATACATCGAGTCATGTGCCATTATATTGATCATACAAAATACAGAGAGAGAGCCAAATCAATAATAATAATAACAATGATTATTTATTATAATAATAAACATGATATAAATAAATAACAAACAAACAAAAAAAAAAAAAAGAAGAAGAAATGATGGCCGTGGTGACACTACGACATTTCACCATTTGCGCGACGAAGTCAATTTCGTTGCTCAAAAATCCTTTCAGTCGCACAAAATTTAGCGCGACAGAAACTTTGTCGCGCATAATCCGTCGCGCAAAGATCGTTAAGAAAGACTTTGCGCGACAAATAATGTTGCTTGGTCGCAAAAACTTGAGTGACGGTTGACTTTCGTCCCACAAAAATTTTCGGGACGAGATAGTTTATCGTCGCAAAAACCTGTGCACGACGATTAATCGTTTGTCACACTAACACAGTGCGACTGTGGCCGTGCATCGCAATAACACAACATGACGTGGAAATACTTCGTGCCACAAACATTTGCGTGACGAAGTGTTTTGCGCAAAGAAAATCCATTAGTCACAATTCATTTTTCGCGCAACGAAATATTTCGTCGCGCAAAAATAAATATTTTTTTCCCCTTTTTTATTTTGTAAAAAGTGAATTTGAGATGAAAAGCATTTCGTCGGGCAAAAAAAAAAATTTTTTTAAATCAATTTTGACCTTTTTTTGTGTGTGTGTTTTTTTCAAGCCATATTTGCAAGATGACCAAGTAGATTTTTTTTTTTTTTTTTTTTTTTTTTTTTTTTTTTTTTTTTTTTTTTTTTTTTTTTTTTTTGTAAAAAACATAAATTTGGTTGTTTTATTTTTTGTTTATAATAAAATGAAATTGCAATTAAAAAAATAATGAAGAGAAAAAAATTGTAAACATAATATAAATGTATTTATTACAAGATCAATATTTCAAATGTAATGAAAAAAAGTAAAAAAACTAATCAAAAAGAGTTTGAAAATCTACATGGTCATCCTGCAAATGTGGCTCGGAGGTTTGGACAGTATCGATAGGGGCATGAGTGTGGTGGCGAAGGTCGGGTTGGAGGGGCTCAGAGGTCGACGAGGGGCCAACATGCGGTATAGGAACGCCGGACCGGACGATGGACTGTAGAATCTGTGACATATGTGACATCTGGGTCCTAAGCTCGGCCACCTCTGCCGTCAAAGCAGTCACCTGACTGTTTGACTGCGATAAGGAACGGGCTCTAGGTTCCTGCCGGCGGGCATTCCTCATCCCTCGATAATATGTCTCTGGCTTCCTCCCGAGAGTCTGATCCAAGGTCTCAGTTAGGATCTGAAACCCTGCATCATGTGAAGGATCCACAGACTCGAGCGGAATATCGGGAGGAAGTTGGGAGGCGGACTCCTGAAGAACCAACTGGCTCTTCTCCACCATCGTCGTCTGTTTAACATAACATAAAATATTAATTACAACATTCATATAATAACTATGAAACATGAATGCGTAAGATAATAATTAAAAATAAAGAATCCTTATATGAAGGGACTTAGCCAACTCATTCATAGGTCGAACATAAACGTCGCCAAAGACGTCGATCTCTGGGAATTTGGACCCCTCCTGAATTAAACAACAAAAGACAAATGTTAGTACGAAAAAAACAAATTAATATTAATGACATATTAAAAATTGAATATAAAAGATTTTATTATTACCCGTCGTCGTGCGTCCATCCTATATGAGAAGGGCCTGGAACCTGAATGGTGGAGAAGAGTCTTATTGTTCCTATTGCCCTTATTTGCTTGGGCCTAAAAATGAACGTATTAGTTGAAAGTGAAAGGAAATATAAAAAATTAAATAAACATTAATAAGAAACGTATGATAATTGTGAACTTAATATAAAAAATTACCAAATAATCACCCTCCTGAAAATGACCGCAGAGCCACGCCCAACTATCCTCCCGGCCCTCAAGCTCCTGCGGGCAACCCTCATGCAGAGCGACCTGCGGATCATCAAATGTCTGAAAATGGTGGTGCAAATCGCTCTTCCATTGCTTGTACCTCTCACCGAAGAGTCTATTGACGTACGTCAATGACTCGTCGTCTAGGTCTTCTAAATTGTAGTTGGTCTGCAATACATTAATTACATACATTAAGTAATAGAAATATATAAAATTTGAAGAAAAAACAATTAAACAGTAGGATACATACCTACAACTGTCCGCGCACCTCCATCCTCGTCTCGTCAGGCATGACCTTCCAAGACTTCCATTTCATTGGGCAATGGGCCTAAACGACGTGACCAATGTCGTGGGCTAATGAGCTATGAAATTCCGCAGTTGCTGAAGCCCGATGCCTCTCGTCGTATCCGATGTTGATACGACTATTGGTCACCCCGAGTGACCTTCGCCGTCTTCAACTGCCGACAAGGCCCCCGTGTGTTCTTCTTGGCTTTAAAGAAATATAAAATTAAAGTTAAATAACAAAATTCTACTATAGAATATTGGTCCAAAACAGTTGCAGTTCAAGGAATCTTTACCTGGTTGTGACGCTGACACACCCGTACTGTCTGTCGAGGTTGTGTCGGTCGTCTAGGGGGGGATGACGACGCCTGGCGCTAACAGGTTGCGCGACGGATGATGCTGATGACGTCAGTGCAGGAGAACCCGTAGAGTGACCAACTAGCATGTGGTCCATCTGTGCTGGAGCAGTGGCAGTTGAAGACTGAGTCGGGGGAGGCGACATCTGTGCAATCGTGACCGCCTTACGACTTCTAATAAGGTTTGACATCTGCACAATTGAACAAGCATCCAATATGTTAAACATAGCTACTTTAATGTGGTCCAAAACCATTTACACATTTATTTCAATTTTTTTTAATACAAAAGGTCATGGTCATGGTCAAAGTAATCAAAAAAATAGGAACCCATGCAAGAGAACACAAAATCCTAAACAACCCATTCAAGAAAACACAAAATCCTAACCAACCATCAGACTAAGCACATATTAATGTATAACATATTGATTTAATTTTTTTTTTCCAGTGTGTTTCATACATGATAAACTCATACAGCAAACAAGAAAAATCATAAGCACGTATGATAGAAAAATCAAATGTAGTACCAAATCTCTAAAACCACAACTCTAGTTCTTAAAAACTAACAGTAGGTCATATTTTAAACCCCCCAAATAAATGCAACTCAATCCAACCAACCAAAAGAAAAAACAGCAATACAGTTGCAAAACAGTCACATTTTTGCAGCTACAAAGCAATACCATGACAAAATCAGAAACACATGAGAACAAACAAGTTCAAACACATTTTTGCAGATAAATCATTGAATCTCATCCCCACTGCATATATCAGTTTGCTGTTATTTACGGCTAAACCCTCATGATTAATTTTTTAAAAATAAAATAAACAATGAAATGTAAATAGGGCTGCAAACGAACGAATCAAACAGCAATACACTTACAAAATCACAAATCGAAGACCACAATGCTTGATCAACACCTCCAATCAAATCTGAAATCCAAAATAACAACCCAATAACACAAATAAATAAATAAATATATATATATATATATATATATTCAAAGGGAAAAACCAAATCAGAAACACATTAAAATATAATAACAAAAAGGAAAAAAATTTCACCTTGATACAGACAGCAGCGGATGTGAGATGGAGGTGTTGGTGGTAACTTGTTTACAATGATGGGGCTTTTCGGTTAGAGAGAGAGGGAGAGAATTTGGGTTGGAGAGAGAGGGGGAGAATTTCGGGTCAGAGAGGGGGAACGGGAGAGAGGGTTTGTGCTTTGGTTAGGAGTCATCAACGGGGGCGGCGAAGGCCTGGGATGCGATGGCGAGGTCGGGGAGAACGTGTCAGGTTTGTCAAAGAGGGGGAAAGAGAGAGAGGGTTTGTGCTTTGGTTAGGGGTCATCAACGGGGGCTGCGAAGGCCTGGGATGCGACGGCGGGGTCGGGGCGGATGTGCTAGGTCTGGTATCGGGGCTGGACGTGAACGGAGGTGGTGGTATGGAGGTTTGGGAGGGCACGGCTGGAGGAAGAAGAAGAGTCTGAAAAAAAAGGGGCACGACTGGCTGGAGGAAGAAGAAGAGTCTGAAATAAAACGGCGCCTTTTTTCACATTTAGTCCGCCTAAAATTTTCGGCACCTTTAGCGACGAAGAAGAACATCTGCGTCGCGCAAGGAATTATTTTGTTGCTTGCGTGACCAAGGATGTTACATCGCTCAAAAAAACCCTAAGTATTTACTATTTTGGGACCTTGCGCGACCAAGAAAATTTCCGTCGCACAAAACTTAAACCCTAATGAATTAGACCGGCAAAAATTTTCGGCACCTTGAGCGACGAAGGAAAGTCTCTTCATTGTGCAAGGCAATATTTCAGATCTTGCGCGACGAAGAATATTAACGTCGTGCAAAACATAAAAATGAAATATTAAGGCCTAATTAATTTTTGGGTACCTTGAGCGAAGAACGCATGTTGCGTCGCTCAAAACTGCGCGACCAATAACAATTACATAGCGCAAAACCTATGGTCGCAACTTGCGCGACGCAAGCCACCTGTTCGTTGCCCAAACCCCCCCCAAACCTTTAAAAAAAAAAAAAAAAAAGATGCCTTTGACTAGTCTAGCATGTTTAGACCATAAAATATTATAATAATACAACAAATAGGCTAGCATCTATATGAAAATAAAGAAAAATATACACTAATCTAATTTGCTAAGTTTTGAATGCATGTTTTGTCTATAATATTACCAATGAATTTGGATTAGAATATAACATTGTTGGAGTATTCCCAACTAACTTGTAATGAATGATTCTCGAGCAAATTGGCATCATAATTAGAAGAACAACTTTTATAACTCTTCTAGTCCAAGCACAAATTTTCATTACATATAAATGAATGATAACATATATAGTGAAGTTTCGATATAACCTCCTTTCCCAATATCGTTTTGTATTTTTCTTTTTTCAAAGAAAGCAATTTTTTAACTATTCTATAAGCTTGGAAAACATTTCGATCAGTATATTGTTATTGTGAATTGTGATTAACATCATCTCACGGTAGATATGAGTGCAATTTGTCAGTTGAATTTCCTTATCATAGATTAGGACATCATTTTACTAAAATTATTACCAACCAAAATAAAAAATAATAATCTAACATGTAAGAGCTCTCTCGTGAAATTTTGAATGACTGAACGGAATAAAACCCATTAATTCCATAAGTGAAACAGTTAAACTGAGACATAGCATTAATCACATTATAATAAAAGGGGCAAATTTATTAATTAAGCATTTATCAATTCAATTTTTTTTTTCCAATATGCACACCAAAATATCCAAATAAACAAAAGAAGAAACAAAAAATTGAGTTGAAGCAAATAAATTACAATTTTTTTTAATCATCTGAACTATAATAACTTTCATTGTCGTCGCTATCATCACTTTCGGTCTCCTAATCCTCCTCCTCATCACTTTCGTAGTTAGGGCCCACTGGAACATCGTATCGCGGAAGATTACCGAGGTCAATTGTAATTGACTGAATCGGTATTTTGATTGACACTCATTGAAGCTGAAACGGTTCTTGTATAACATTTGTATCTCGAAGTGTTTCTGCATCATTTTCCATAGAAGATTCCAAACGTTGGTCAGCGACGTTGTCGACGTCATTGTCAGTTGGGTCTAGTTCTGGTATAGCATACACATTCCGTTGATCCATCTTTTGAACAACCTTCCAACCATTCCCGGCTTTAGGGTCATCTAGATACACAATCTGTGTTGCCATATTTGCCAAAATGTAAGGGTCGTCATCATACCAAGTTTTGTTAATGTTCACAAATAGTAAGCCATGGTCGATTTTAACACTTTCTTGCGTATTTGGGTTTGTATCAAACCATCGACACTTAAATATGATCACTTGGTATCGGTCTTTGTAAAGCAATTGCACGACAATTGTGAGTTTACCATATAAATCAATGTTCGTACTTTCGCCTCCACCTGGGACATGAACACCGCTGCTTTGCGTACACAACTTGTCATCTCGTACAGTCCCCAAAAACTTGACGCCGTTAACATGGCAACTTGAGAACAATTTAGCGCGAATCGGCCCGAATGTTAAGTTATATAACTCTTTACTGTAAGTGGGGGAATTCGATGATTTCAATTTATTCACCTAATATTATACAAAAACATTCACATGTTAGTTTGAGAAAATTACATACTACAAATATATGTCAAATGCAAAACACTTATAACTTACATATTCCAAAAACCATTGTGGAAATAATTCACGATGTTTATTGGCAACCAAATGTGATGGATGTTCTCGCTTTATCATATCTTCATGCTCATCTAAGTATGCCATTATATCATTACAATTGTTCAGTACGAACCAATGCGCTACCTCCATGTCATTTCTGGAAAGCGACTCTCCTCGTGCAGGATTCCCAAAGGGTCGTGCGCTTTGGGCAAAAATAGAAAGTTTCTCATTTCTCACACCTCCATCATTATTGCACTGAGGTCGATTAAAAGCCATCTCCACATCTTTTAAATACATTCCACAGAAAGTCAACGACTCATATTAAACCCAAGCCGGGCTTCGCCCTATTTCGTACAGTTTTTTTTCAACTCTCCGAGAAGCCTACAAAAAAAAATGATACGATACAAATTAGCAAACATGGGATAAGGATGCATAAACAAATGATGAGGATTATATACCTTTCTATTGGATACATCCAACGATAGTTAACAGGACCAGCAAGTAATGCCTCTTCTGGCAAGTGAACCATCACGTGGATCATACTTGTGAAGAACGCTGGAGGGAATATCATTTCAAACTTGCATAGGACTTAGACAATGTCATGGCGCAACTGATGAATGTCTGGCTTTCGCAACGTTTTTGCAGTCAATTGGGAAAAAAATCTGGACAATAACATGATTGGTTTGACTACATATTCTGGCAATAGATGTCAAATACCCACAGGAAGTAGGTGTTGTATAAATACATGGCAGTCATAACTCTTTAGTCCAGCAAATTTACCCCCGTCAACATTTACGCAACGTGCGATATTAGAAGCATACCCATCGGGAAACTTTACAGACGATACAAACTTTAGAAAATCTTTTTTGTCATTCGGTTTCATTGAAAAAAATGCAAGATCCCTTCTAGCTTTATCACTGTCCCTATTCATCCATAATCCCTTTTGTATGCCCATTTTTTTCAAATCAAGCCAAGCTTGAATGGTGTCCTTTGTCTTGCCCTCGATATTTAGAATCGTACCCATCAATGCGTCAAACACATTTTTATCAACATGTATAACGTCGAGATTGCGCCTCAATTTTAGTTTTGACCAATATGGGAGCTCAAAGAACATAGACTTGTGCGTCTAGTTCAAATGTGTAGAAGGTCTGGTTCGACTAACTGTTTTCCCGAACGGAGCAAAATCCAAACGGTTAAGCTATTCCAAGATCTCATCACCGGACCATTCTCTAGGTCTGAGGCGAAGCTCTGTGTTCCCGTCGAACTTTTTATCCTTTTCCCGCCACTCGTGGTCCCATGGTAACTATCTCCGATGACCAAGGTAACAAACTTTTTCAGCGTGCCAACCAGAAATTACATCTTCCTTGCATACAGGGCATGCCATATAACCATTTGTGCTCCACCCAGAAACCATTGCATATGCGGGAAAATCATTCACAGTCCACATAACTGCTGCCCGTAGAGTGAACATCTTCCCAATGGATTTATCATACGTGCGCACACTGTTTGTCCATAAATCCTTGAGTTCATCCACCAACCCCCTTAAATAAACAACGATTGACCTGCCAGGATCCTCAGTTATCAAAACTGTCATCATCATGTACTCTTTTTTCATGCATTTCCAAGGCGGTAAATTATATGGGAATACGAAAATTGGCCAAGTGTTGTGGTGTTGGTTTAGAACCCCGTACGGATTGAATCCGTCAGTTGCAAGTCACAATCTAACATTTCGGGAATCAGCAGCAAACAAAGGGAACGTTCGATCGAACGCTTTCCATGCCTCCCCATCTGCAGGATGACATATCACATCGTCGTCTACCCATTTTTCCTTATGTCATCTCATGTCTGTGGCAGTATACTTCGACATATACAATCGCTGCAGCCTAGGTTTTAGGGGCAGATAATGCATGACTTTTTGTGGGATCTTAGTTAATCTATTTTGAGATGTCATTTTGAACCTCGACTCATTGCATGTAGGGCATGTATGCAATGTTTCATACTATTTGTAGAATAACATGCAATTGTTTTTGCAAGCGTGAATTTTTTCATAACCCAATCCAAGACCATTCAACACCTTTTGTGCGTGTCTATAGTCTTTCGACAAGCAATTGTCCGTCTGAAGCATTCTCTTAAAAAACCTCAAAAAGCAATCGAAACACAGGTTCGACATACGATACTTTATTTTTCCATGCATTAGCTCCACAATGGCCGTGAGAACGGAAAAGCTCTTGCAACCCGAGTATAACTCTTGGTTGACATTTTTTGACAGTTGTTCATATTGTTCGAACTCTGCACTGTCTATTGGGGTATGCACATCATCTTCCCCTTCCTGATTGATGTTGGTCGATGCAAATGGAAAAACATCATTTATAATATCCATGACTTGTTCATTAGGATCCATAATAGGTTCAACATTGTCCACTCTTGTGGCATTTGAAGACGAAACATTGTCTAATTGTTCTCCATGAAGGTTCTAAATGCTATATGTCTCAATCATTCCATTCCTTACTAAATGAAATCCAACATTTTCAATTGTCTCCCACAACATGTTGTTACACTTCCTACAAGGACAACGGATTCTAGTTGCACCCGAGTTGTGTCTACGTGCAAACTCAATAAGATCCTTGATTCCATCCAAGTATTCGTCTGCGCATCTATTTGGGTTCTGTATCCACCTTCTGCTCATAATTCCTGAAACCACAATCACAACACAACAATCACAACAACTTCATACGAAGTTATAATGTCACCTTATGCCTCCGGTAAGGGTCTTATCCCATTCGGGAATGCATAGTCCTGTCATGTAACATACGGCTACATGAGATTAGATTTCGACGTGGATAAATTTCGGTAGCATCTTGATACAATTCTTGAGGTGGGCATAGGTATAAATACCTACGTACCACCCGAAGAATGTACCGAGATGACA